GAGACGCCGTAGTGGAGGGCTCCGGAAATTTCGACCACCTGGGGTTCTTTAACGTGCACCCAAATCTGAGCACACGGGCCTACAGCATTTCCGCCTCCATCGGAAATGCAGCCGCCGCAGCCGGGAATCGAACCCGCGACCTGCGGGTCAGCAGCCGAGTACCTTAGCCACTAGACCACCGCGGCGGGGCGCGCGTAGGTAGAATAACCACTGGTCGTTAAGGGTAACTAACTGGATTCCCAGAGAAGGCAAGCGGGTTAGGGGGAGACCGAAGGTTAGGTGGGCAGATGAGATTAAGAAGTTTGCGGGTATAAATTGGCAGCAGCAAGCACAGGACCGGGTTAACTGGCGGAACATGGGAGAGGCCTTTGTCCTGCAGTGGACGTAGTCAGGCTGATGATGATGATGATGATGATGATAATGATGCAAGAACCAAACATGAATGTCTTCAGGATAGCTAAATAGTTAAAAAAAGATTAATTTTGATTAACAGCTATAAAAGGCAGAAATTAATCTATAATAAAATTATTGTTTTGCAATAGAGTATTGAGGGTCTTAAAATCATGCTGTGACAATTTGGCTCATCTACAGGCAGTTCTTTATTAGTAGCGTCTGAAAGGTGTAAATAGGGAGGCGCAATATTAACAAGAACTAACAGACAACACTGCCAAGGAAAGTATATCAGATGTTATTAGACGTCAGTGAAATGTAAATGTGAAGAAATAAAAGTGTATGAAAAGATTAATGTGCGTGTTTGGGCGAGTTGAGGAGTCTTATTTAAGAACAGTGAACATATAGCGCGCACTGGAAGAGAAAAACGATGGATCGCTTTTTTTTTCTGTTGGTATAAACGGCAGCGTTGAGACGCGGCTCTACCTTTTCATGCGTTTAAATCCGGTGCAGAACAAAATCTTCGGATTTTGCAGCTTAAATGTAGTTTTTGAAACTTCCCCATACTTGACTCAGACTCATACTTTCCACATACTTTAATATGTCAACTTATCCTGAAACTTAAATTGTGTTATTCAATTAGGGCCTCTTTCACAGGGGCGAATTTTGTACACATGTCGCTCTGACAGCCAATGAATTGATTTAATCATTGATGTGTCCGGTTTAACGTCCCAAAACCCAAAACCACCATGAGAGGCGCCGTCGATGAGGGTTCCGGAAATTTTGACCTCCTGGGGTTCTTTAATGTGCACCCAAATCTGAGCACACGGGCCTGCAGCATTTTAGCCTCCATCGAAAATGCAGCTGCCGCAGCCGGGATTCGATCCCGCGACCTGCGGATAGGCAGCCGAGTACTTTAGCCATACCACCACGGCGGGGCAGCCAATGAATGGTCGTGCGCGCTTCTTCTTGCAAAGTGGTTAAGTTTCACCATTGCTTGTGGTTTGTGGCAGGTCAGAGTGCTTGTGGCAGATGCTGAAAACTGTTCTTATTCCGATTTTTTTCTCCACTTTTTTCAGGTTACGTGACAAAATTATGAATTAATAAAATGTTGATGGTGCTGTTTTCCTTGCCCAGTTCTTTCTTTTCCTAAAGTTTTTTGTAAAAACACGAGAGGGAATTATGGCGCTAGTGTCTACGGGCCGGAGCTTCAACACATGGCGCTACAGCGAGCATGAAAATGATGGGTAGTACTACAGCCTACTAGAATTACAAAAATTTGTCTTCGTACTTTGGGCCCCGCTTCGCTTCGCGTGGCTTGAAGCTGCTTTGTCACGAAACAACAATCAGCAAATGTTCAGCACCATGGGCTTGACTGCCTCAACATTTATAGCTCACCGATTCAAATCGGGTCATGAAGTTCACATTGGTCATTCTTTTATTCAAAACAAAACCGAAACACAACAATAAACAAATCCGAAAGTACGTTTGAAGACCGCAAGCACTAACACTTGGCAAATTCGTGTGCTACTGCTACCCATCATTCCCATAGTTGCTGAATGATCGGAGCACCTGAGTCCCCCCTAGTTAATTATATGAAACTCTATGTTTCTTTTGGCTGTTTGGCAGTATTCTAACTTTTTGGTGTAGGACGACTTTTGGGCCAGTGGGCAGTTTCCTAGAGGTTCCTTGGAAGACGAGTGTCATGTGCGCAACTCGGGCATTCCCCAGCTCTCTGGTGGTAAATCATACCAGTGACGTTTCTAGCACACAAAATTAATTATTTAAAAGTACACCTACTAAATCATTTAGAATCTCTTTCCTTCTAGTGATCAAATAAAATAAAATCTTTAGGAATTTCGTATGCCTGCATATTTGACGTAAAGTAAGAGACAATAGGCAATGGCGTAGCCAGAAGGGGCGAACCGGACCCCCCCCCCCCCCCCCCGGGCCCCTTCAGATAAGTAAGGTAGCCTTCCCCCGAAAAAAACAAAATCCTGCCTACGCCCCTAACAGTAAGTCATTGTTGCCGATGCTCATAACGTTCGCTTTTGGTCGCTTCAACACGTCAATTTTGAGGGTTTGCATCAACTTTCACCGAGAAAGTGTGGCGTTTCCTTGCTAGCAAGCTTCGAGTCAGCGCCTGGTCGAGTTCATGATACCACGGCATGCGCTTTCGAGTCCCTATATGAGCTGCGTCAGAAGGCAGCGTCACGCGTCTCGTGTCATCTTGGGTCTGAACCACTTGCCCGAACCTCTTGCCTGCTCAGCCCTCGCGCTTAGGCCTAACTTGGTGTGAACCATGGCCTAACTTGCATAACTTCATAATTAACGGGCGATATCATCTTTCACGTGTCACTACATTTGTTCAAACTTGCGCTAAAGCAGGAATATATTACTTTTTTGCTTTTTTAGAGAGAGGAGCGGTCCTACCCCATTTTATATGTGCGTTGGCAAACCGAAGCGGTGGTCAAGTGGTTATAGCTTCCGCCTGCGATGCTGGGGGAATTTGGTTCGGCTCCTGGTGCCGCCAGCCACCCACCGTTTTTTTTTTTTTTTTTCAAATGGGAAGAGGGATCCTTGTCTTTCGCTCGGTCTTGTGGTACTATATACGCGTCATCAGAAGGTGACCTCTCTTTTCCGCTCTCTTTCACTCGTAATGACGCTGAGCCATGTCACCTAATGGGTTGCAGAAATAAGCGACTTTCCTATATTGACATATTGACACCAATAATACTGTTTGTATGCGCGTGTGTACGCGCACGCTTATGAAGAGCAGTATTTTGTACTTAAGCCCCCCCCCCCCCCCCCCCTCGCCCCCAGTAACCTTCCTTAACTTAAAATCAAACAACAAAGCTGGAGACCATCCCACTCGGTGAAATTGGCGGCCAGTGGAGCTGGCGGCCGCGAAATCTCCTTTGGGAGTTGTCTAAGGGAAGCGTAAGCATAGAGCTTTATTGTCAACTACGGCCTTCTCTAGGACGTGGTTTTGCGTCTTAGCATTCAACAGCACATTGAGCCGTGAGCTAGAGTGGTCCCCTAAAAAGGACATGGATAGGCTTGTGCGTGGCATAAAATTTTGGCAAAGCTGGAATTTTTCGAACTTCCCCGATTCACAATGTCGGCGTTACATGTTGTCGTGAAGAGGGCTTTCATTATTCCACCATTGCACCTCCGTGTAACAGCGGGCCCTGGGAAGCAGCCGCGACAGGCGTGCATGCCGCCGAGCGGCCAATGGCGAGACGGTGTTGTTATTTATATAAACTCGGTCTATGCACGAAAACGGCTCAGCCATCTGTAAAATTTCGGAGGCAGTGTGACATTCGTCCTATCCTCTGGCTTTTAGCCGCGGCGCTGTTGGAGCCGAGCATTGGTCCGCGACGGGTCAACTTCAGAAATGTTCACTATCAACCGGCACGCGGTCTTTTCTTCCTCTTCTGTTTTCGCTACCAGAACTCGAGCGTCGATTTGTGCGGCGTGGCCTGCAGTAACCTGAATTGGTGAGAGAACAGACACATATAGAAAAAGTACGAAGGAAAGAGAGAAAGAAAGAAATTCTTGACGGAAAAGTTTCTTGACGAAGCAGGATTCGAGCCCGCGCATCCACGATCCGAAGGCGATTATGGTAACCACTCGACTCTGCACACTTTTATTTATTTATTGTTTTATTTTACTCGACTATGCATACACGCTAACAGAGCATAAAATATAGCCTTGTATAGTGTGAGAAAGGGAAGTTAGTGTCAGGAAGCGAGATGTGAGGGTGCATACGGAGGAGAGGAGGCGTTGCATATGAAAGAAAGAAATCGAGAGGAAAGAAGAAATATATTTAAAAAAAAACAGGAAAAAAGTATAGTTACAAATGGAAGTGTAAGTAGAAAGAGCAACCGAGAAAACGACAAAGAAAAGGAAGAAAGAGTCAGAGACTGGAGGAGCGAGAAATACGAAGAAATGCATAGAGTGGTGAAGAAAGAAGTCGAAATGAACAGAGATAAAGAAAGACAAAAACAGAGAGAAGAGACAAAAAGAAAACGAAACACGAATGGCCGCCCAGCTCAGCACTTCTTTCAGGCTTGGCAGCACCAGCGGGAAGCTACCTTAAATCTTATCTTCTTTCTTGGCTGTACAGCCGCCAGCACCTTTAACACGAACACTTAGATGCGTGGTCTGGGCTAGTTTGATTGGTGCCAGCCGCGAAGTGCTGGGCGCTTTTGCCGAGATAATGTCTCGTTAGGCTTGGATAGTATGTCGGCACGTATGGCTAGCATCTTGGTAAGAGAACCCAAACGTACGTGGTCTCAGCGTCAAACTGCTGCAGGACACGCGGCGGAGCGTTCGCGTTAAAGGTGCTGACGGCTGTACTTGTGTATACCGTAGATGACTGGCAGTATACACGCGACTGAACTTTTGCTCCGTCCACTTCGAACAGTCGCCATAAAGAAATCAGATCAGTGGCACGGAAGGATAAGCACTCCGCGCGCGTCGGCCGCCACCGTGGCACGCACACGGGGCAGCGGCAAAGGCGGCCCCATATCAGCACTCGAGCGTGAGGGCCAAGGCTCGAAACGACATCCGATACACGGCGACGAGGAGAGCGTCCAATTTGTGGTGGTTGAACGCGTATATAGATAGGCGCGCCGCACGCTTGGCAGCATCCGGACATTCAGATATCCTAGTCCCTGCAGCGGACTCGGGTGCGCCCATCATGTCGCCGCTGCTGCTACTCGGTCTGGCACTCGCGTCGGCCGCTCTCACGGGTTCGGCGCACGCCAAAGAGCACGGTCAGTACTTGCAGCTGCTCAGCAGCTCCTTTACCTGCATCGATCCGCGGGACACTCGCAGATTGCTTCGAAATATGCGTGCAGTAGAAACAAATATTCAGGTCAGGGATGTAATTCTAAGTGTCCTGTCTAAAACGTCAGTAGAGTTTTTTTTTTTTTTTCGACGTATACATAGGCACCCTTCGAAAAGCTTTGGGTTATCCGAGTTTTTTGTGAGAATATACTTTTTACTTACATATTTTCTACATGTCTGGGAAAACTTATATATAAACAGATAGATAGGTTTCCACATACTGACAACATACTTATTGACTTGCAGTACGGATTTAGGAAGAATGGGTCGACAGAAATCGCTTTAATTCATCAAAAAGAATGCATACCAGATAAATTCGAGCAAAACAAATTTATGCTAAGTATTTTTATAGATTTCACGAAGGCATAGTGCGTTGCATTTTATACAATAAATTTGATTTTTGTCGTACAAGGGGTCATGCTTTAGAGTTAATGATGTCGTATTAATCGCATCGAAAACAGCACGTTTGGATTGGCAGTTTTCAATAAAAAACGCGCGACTACCGAACCGGAGTACCTCAAGGTAGCATACTGGGGGGCCCCTTCTTTCTAACATTCACATCAACGACATTACGCATATTGATGGTGATTCTAGATTTATAACTTACGCGGATGATACCACGAATCTTTTGTCAGCTTACTCATCAGGAGTAATCCTTGCATGGTAACGGTGGTTTGAGAAATTAAGAGCTATGGACTTATGAAAAGGCGTTGTTGATCGATTTAACTAAAACTAAAGCGGTTATCTTTAATTGCAAGAATAAGAAATCGGACACTCCAATAAACCGACAATATCAATCACAGTGGATTGAACTCTTGAGATCTACAAAACCGCTTGGAGTTTATTTCACACAAAGCATGCAATGAAATGACCATGTCAATAATGTTTTACTTAAGGCCTCTAGAGCTGTAGGCGTATTTTCGCGTCATAGATCACTGCTACCATTAAAAGCAACGCTTGCAATATACTATACTTTATTTATTTCACATTTAAATTACCGTGCACTAGTGTGAGCCATGACGACACAGTGACGACACTAAGAAAGATTTCTCTATTACAGAACAAAATCATTAGCTTAACTTATGACCTTCCTAAATGACTTAAAATGCATGACTTCTTTTCTGAGCACAGCATCATCAACGCTTTCACTTTATATGATTATACACTGCTACAGTAGTATAACAAAGAACAAAAAAGACGTTTGTCTACATTATCAGAGTTAGCCGGTATGCAAACTTATAAGTCACATTACCAATATCGTAATCAGCCACGTTGGGTACTTCCTCACACAGGAACTAACTATAGACTGCCACAACTATCTTATCAGTTACCATCACAATTACATAAACTCCATTTTGCGGACATTGAGATAAAAATTAAATTTGCGCAGCTCCGCGAATTTCGCGTTAGCTCTTCACAAACAGTCAAAAGTACATTAGCCTTACCCCTATGTGGATCATCTAAAGTGTTCCTGTGTTCTGGTTCTCTCTATTTTTCGCTGTTGGTGTTTTGTCTTTGTTATACTTGTACACAGCGTTTGTAAACTTGCCTGTCTATGCATGTTGCAATGTCAAAAATGTATATAATCTGTACTGCCTCCATTTAAAATTACTCAAGTTTAAGCATATTATTATATTTTGTAAAAGAAAGGCCAGTTATTGCTACCAATTTATGTGTTCAGTTGCCACCACTACCTCTGCCTTATGTAACCGACGGGTGGGAACTTAGTCGAGCGGCTTGTCGGATTTTTTCTCACGCCCTTCATCAAGACTTTATTGGTGGGAATAATTTATTATTATTATCATCATCATCATCATCATCATCATCATCATCATCATCATTATTATTATTATTATTATTAACATTATTATTATTATTATTATTATTATTATTATTATTATTATTATTATTATTATTATTATTATTATTATTATTATTATTATTATAACTATTATTGTGTAGATACGAAGATATGACTGATTTGTGGGGTTTGATTTGTGGGGTTTAACGTCCCAAAACCACCATATGATTAGGAGAGACGCCGTAGTGGAGGGCTCCGGAAATTTAGACCACGTGGGGTTCTTTAACGTGCACCCAAATCTGAGCACACGGGCCTACAACATTTCCGCCTCCATCGGCAATGCAGCCGCCGCAGCCGGGATTCGATCCCACCACCTGCGGGTCAGCAGCTGAGTGCCTTAGCGGCGGGGCACATACGAAGATACGTGTGCACGTGTGCATGTTGTGTCGAGATATGGATATGGCCTGAAATCATTTTGTTTATTCTTGTATATATATATATATATATATATATATATATATATATATATATATATATATATATATATATATATATATATATATATATATATATATATATATATATATATATATATATATATATATATATACAGGTAGGGACAAACAGAGTACGACGCACGTTGGTTTTGCACGGTATATTCGGTATATTTGAGTCAGAATATACGGTGCAAAACCAACGTGCGTCGTGCTCTATATTTTTTATTCTGCAGGGGCCAGCGTTGCTTCCTTGATGCAATTATATATATAAACAAAAGTGATGCTGGGTCCGGGAAAGATTATTCGTATAGGGAAGAAGACGCACGTACGAAGTGATTTTCTTGACGTTTCGGCCGTGGGTCCGGCCTTCATCAGGATATATATATATATATATATATATATATATATATATATATATATATATATATATATATATATATATATATATATATATATATATATATATATATATATATATATATATATATATATATATATCTTGGTACATAAGAAAGGAGATGACAAGGACTTGAAGAATTACAGGCTGATCAGCTTGCTCTCTGTAGTATACAAGCTATTTACAAAGGTAATTGCTAACAGAGTAAAGAAAACAATAGAATTCAATCAACCAAAGGAACAAGCAGGATTTCGAACAGGCTACTCAACAATCGACCACATTCATACTTTCAATCAGGTAATAGAGAAATGCTCAGAATATAACCAACCACTATACATAGCCTTCATAGATTACGAGAAGGCGTTTGATTCAGTAGAAATATCAGCCGTCATGCAGACACTGCGAAATCAGGGCGTCAATGAAGTATATATAAACATCCTGGAAGAAGTCTACAGGGGATCAACTGCTACAATAGCGCTTCATAAAGAAAGCAACAGAATACCAATCAAGAAGGGTGTAAGGCAGGGGGACACAATCTCCCCAATGCTATTTACCGCGTGCTTACATGAGATTTTCAGAAGCCTAGAATGTGAACAGTTAGGGATAAGAGTTAATGGAGAGTACCATAGTGACCTGCGCTTCGCCGATGCCATTGCATCGCTGAGTAACTCAGGAGACGAATTGCAACTCATGATTACGGAGTTAGACAACGAGAGCATAAAGGTGGGTCTTAAAATAATCTGCAGAAATCGAAAGTAATGTACAACAACCTCCGAAAAGAGCAGCGTTTCGAGATAGGTAATAGTGCACTTCAAGTTGTAAAAGACTATGTCTACCTAAAGCAGGTAATAACCGTGGAGCCAAACCACGAGATTGAAGTAACTAGAAGAATAAGAATGGGGTGCAGCACACTTGGCAAGCACTCTCAAATTATGACAGGTAGATTGCCACTATCCCTCAAGACGAAGGTATATAACAGCTGCATCTTGCCGGTGCTTAGCTACGGAGCAGAAACCTGGAGACTTACAAAGAGGGTTCAGCTTAAATTGAGAACGACGCAGCGAGCAATGGAAAGAAAAATGGTAGGTGTAACCTTAAGAGACAAGAAGAGAGCAGAGTGGATTAGGGAACAAACGGGGGTTATGGACATCATAGCTGAAATCAAGAAGAGAAAATGGACATGGGCTGGGCATGTAGCGCGTTGACAGTATAACCGCTGGTCATTAAGGGTAACTGACTGGATTCCCAGAGAAGGCAAGCGGGTTAGGGGGAGACAGAAGGTTAGGTGGGCAGATGAGATTAAGAAGTTTGCGGGTATAAATTGGCAGCAGCAAGCACAGGACCGGGTTAACTGGCGGAACATGGGAGAGGCCTTTGTACTGCAGTGGACGTAGTCAGGCTGATTATATATATATATATATATATATATATATATATATATATATATATATATATATATATATATATATATAAGGGAAAGAAGTGTATACCTAAGGGCTCGTTTTTCCGTGTTTTAACACAATATTAATGAGATCTAACAGACAGTAATGCCAAGGAATGTACAGGGGAAGTTATTAGAACCAATGGAATGTAAATAAGAAGAAAGAAAAGTGAATGAAAAAATAACCAGCCGTGAGCAGGAATCGAACCTACGACCTTCGAATAACGCGTTCGATGCTCTAACCACTGAGCTATCACAGCGGCCTTCCCTCCATCCACTTTTTTTTGGGGGGTTAATATGTGAATTTAGAAGTAGAAGTGACAGTCAGCGCCATCTATAAGCCGAGCGACGAGTCTGAAAACGCTCTTATTCGCATGTTTGGCGTCACGCAGCACATGAACTTATTATGAGCGGGCAGCTGATTAATTGTCCCTCCTGTGCAACCTAAACACACCAAGTCTGCCAGTACGAGACCCTCGTTCAATGAAATAAGGGAAAGAAGTGTATACCTAAGGGCTCGTTTTTCCGTGTTTTAACACAATATTAATGAGATCTAACAGACAGTAATGCCGAAGAATATACAGGGGAAGTTATTAGAACCAATGGAATGTAAATAAGAAGAAAGAAAAGTGGATTAAAAAATAACCAGCCGTGAGCAGAAATCGAACCTACGACCTTCGAATAACGCGTTCGATGCTCTAACCACTGAGCTATCACAGCGGCCTTCCCTCCATCCACTTTTTTTTTTTGGGTGGTTTATATGTGAATTTAGAAGTAGGAGTGACAGTCAG